TTTGAGCCCTTTGCTACAACCACCATGTCAGTCTATCTTACTGAAAAGCTTTCTCTTTTCCTCTGACTCTCCTTTACCACGTACAGTACCTCTTTCCAGGGACTGGTCTCTCCTGATAACATGTTCAAGTGATTTTCTTACTAACTACTCTTTCTCCCTGAACTGACATCCACAACTTCACTTTCCTTGTTATAAAATCATTCTCTTCTCTTTTTAGTTCCTCTATTTAAAAGAACCTGCTTCTCAGACTAACACCTCTGTAATGAATGAAGGTGATGACTGATACTTGAATAAGTGGTTAGTCTCTTGCCATGTAGCTAGGAAGCTAACTTCCTATGTGCCTCAGCAATGCCATTTTGATTTATCCACAAAAATAAAAATAAAAACAACATTTGGTGTAAACCAGTATTTTTGTTTATCAAGAGAAACAAAGCCAAGCACCACTAAACAAACATCGTGAACTCACAATAAATACCATTGACCCTGCTAAAGATGAGGAAATTGTAGATGCATACCACCTCTGACAATCTGAAATTTGTCAAACATGTGATCAGGACATGTTAATAATAAATAACCATTGGAATGTAAAAGCTAGAAACAAGAAGGACGATATGGCTGTGGTGGATACAAACTAGGTTGGAGATGGCATAATAGAATTTCCTATGACCAACAACCTATTTATTACAAATACCTTCTTTTAAAAAATACAAACATTTATTATACAATTTTTCCATCTGCCAGATGGAATATGGAGGAATTGAATAAATTACATCTGTTGGAAAACATAGTGGAAGCTCAATATCATCAGTCAGAATAACACCTGGTACTGATTGTAAAACAGAGCATCAGTTACTCATATGCAAGTTCAAACTGAAGCTGAAGAAAATGTATACAGGTCTTCAAAAGCTAAAGCATGATCTTGAGGATATCCCACCTGAATTTAGAGATGATTTCAAGAATGGAGTCAATGAACTGAAACCAAAGAATAGATATGCTCTAGGAATATGTCAAATAAATTTTATATGATCAAAGCAAAAAGTAGTTAAAAAGACACCAAAATGGTGTCAAAAAGACTCTGCAATTGAATATGTAGTTGTTGTTATGTGACATTTAGTCACTTGTGACTCATAGTGACTTTGTGTACAACAGTTCTGAACCCTCCTCTATCCTCAGCCAACCTTATTGTCTCTGACACAGCTACTCTAATTACCCCAGTCAATGAATAAATCCATTTCATGGAGGGTCTTCCTCTCTTGTGCCATTCCTCCACCCTCCAAAGCATCATGTCTCTCTCCAAGGACTGGTCCCTCCTTGCAGCATGCCCAAATTATGTCAGATGAAGCTTCAGAATCCTTGCCTCCAAAGAGCAGCCTGGTTTCACCCTCTCCAGGATGAACTTGTTTGTTCTCCTAGTAGTCCATATATACTATGTATTCTATACTCTTCTCCAGCACCACAACTCAGAGGCATCAATTCTCCTATCATCCTTAGTCATTGTCCAGCTTTATGATGTATATAAAGCAGCTAAAATGAATGAAGGAAATGTTGACATAAGAGGGCAGAACAGAATATTTCAATTTGTAGCTTATGTCAAAATAAAGTGTTATAATGAAATGTGCCCAGACCTAGAGTTAGAAAATTAGAAGGGAAGAATATGCTCAATGTTTGCCAAATAAAAAGAACTGAATAACAAATTCAAGCCTTGAGTTGCAATACTGAAGGATTCAACAGGGGAATGTATTAAATGGCATAGGAATAATAAAAAGATGATAGAAATACATGTACATGCATTTACTGTACCAAAAGGAATTGATCAATGATCAGCCATTTCAGGATCAAGAACCAGTGGTCCTGAACTAAGAAATTCAGGTTTCCCTGAAGACACTGGTGAAAAACAAGGCTCCAGGAATTGATGGAATCCAGCACTGCATGTCACCCTTCTATACCAATAAATCTGGAAGACAGCTACCTGACCAGTTGACTAGAAGAAATATGTATATTTGCCTATTCCTGAGAAACTTGATCCAATAAAATAAAGAAATTATAGAATAATGTCATTGATATCACATGCTAATAGTATATTGATGAAGATAAATAAAAACCAACTGGAGCAGCATATAAACAAAGAACTGCCAGCAATTCAAGCTGGATTTAATATTTGACTTGGCAAGAAATAAATCATTGCGGATATCAGTAAATTTTGACTGGTAGCGAAGAACACCAGAAAGATGTTTACTTTTGTTTTATTGATTTTGCAGGGGTGTTCAGCTATATGGATCATACTGATTTATTAATTACATTGAGAAGAATGGAATTTGACAATATGTAAGCTCATCTGGAATCTTGCACATAAACCAACAAGTAGTTGTTAAAACAGAACAAGGAGATACTGCATGGCTTAAAATCAAGAAAGATGTGTGTCAGGTTTGTATCGTTTGACCATACCTATTCAGTCTTAATGTTGAGCAGATAATCTGTAAAACCAAACTATATGAACAACACAGCATCAAGATTGGAGGAAGACTCATCAACAATCTACAATGTGAAGATGACACAACTTGCAGAGAATGAAGAAGACTTGAAGCGCTTAAGTGATGATACTTAAAGATTATAGCTTTCAGTATGGAATACACCTCAGTGAATACTACACTGAAATAGGTGAAGGGAAGGATTATCTGAAAAGAATGGATGATTAAACATTACATGTATGACAACGATCTGCAACAAGACAATCTGAATGGGGGGGAGATGGAGGGGAAATATGTATATCAATGAATGAGCTAAAACCCATCATTTCTGTTAACCTCCACTAAAATCACAATTTAAAAAAATTTAAAAGACAGTTAAAAAGCTACATAAGGGGACGATATACATGTAATAATTCCAAAGCCCTCATCACCAATGATCACTCTTGTATGGATTAAAGGCTATCAGACACCATTTTTAAAAAGGAAACAAAAATTTTCACAACAAGACGAATAAACAATATCAAGATAAATGGAGAAAAGGTGGAAGTTGTCGAAAGATTTCATATTACTTAGATCCACAATTACCACTCATGGCAGCTGCAGTAAAGAAATCAAATAAATTATCTCATCCAGCAACTTTGCTGCAAAGGATCTTTTTTAAAAAAAATTACTATTATTATTATTATGAATTTTAATAAAAATTTACAGAAACTTTGGATTTCCATTCATTCATTGTTACACTTTTCTCCTTGCCCATCCCTCCCCCCAGTTCACTCTTCTCTTTGAAAGTAAAAGAAAAATTCTTTCATTGTTAAAAAAATCCCTCCTCTTTTTAAAGTGTTGAAAAACAAGGATGTCACTTGGAGGACTAATGTGTTCCTGACCAAAAGACCCATGGCATTTTCATCTGCCTCATGTGCATATGAAAGCTGGTAATTCCAGAAATAGAGAAGATCAAAGAATTGCAACTTTTGTATTATGACGTTGACAAAGAATATTGACTGTACTGTGTATTGCCAAAAGCGTAAGTAAATCTGTCTTTGAAGAAGTATAGTCAGAGTGATTTTAGAACCAAGGACAATGAGATGTTTCACGACTTTGGGCATTCTGTCAAGAAGAGTGATTGCACTGTGGCCACAACAGTGGGCCAAAGCACAATAGATACAGTAAAGATGGCAAGGATCAGTTGGAATTGCTATTTCACAAGGTCTCTTGTAAAACTCTTCCATTTGTGATTTCAGCCTGTGTAATGCTGAGAGTTGCCTTACTTAGCCAAGCCTCTGTAAGATTTGGATCCTTCTAGCTCCTCAAGACTATACCACTGACTTCCTCTTCCCATTGAGTCCAGCCATGCAGACATCTGCCTCCAGCACACATGCCTTAGCATCTTTGCCTGTGTGCTGATTTTCCACCCAGAATTTCCTTTCTCTCCCTCAACTTTATCTCTTTCTTACCATCCCTTGGCAGTTCACTCAGATGTCACTTTGAAGAAAAAAGCAGCTTTCCTCACAGAGCGTCATGGTTGGTATAGTAATTGATTCTATCTATACTAATAGTGGAGACCAATCTACGTAATCACTTTGAAGAAAAAGCAGCTTTCCTCACAGAGCGTCAAGGTTGCTATAGTAATTGATTCTATCTATACTAATAGTGGAGACCAATCTACATAAACTAACATTGCTCACTTATGATGCCAAATTTATATAAAAATGATAACAAATCTCACTGCATCCTGTGGAAATTGCAGCATTCTTTCTCTTTTCAATTCAGATACAGCTGCCAATAGCCTGCTTTTCTCTCTCCTCCCCCAACTCTGCCCAGTTTCAGAACACTTAGCCCCAAATTTGAGGTTTGTTCTGTTCCCCTTAGAGTATTAGCTCTAAGCTTAGTGATACCCATACTCCTTCCACTTTAGACTACATTTTTGGGTTTCTACTGTGCTGAAATGACTTAGAGCTCACTTGAAACGGCATAACTCAGATAACAGCTTTAATGTGGCAATGAAAGTTACAAATAAAAGATTCATAGAACAAGGTCCAGGAAGGGTCCCAGTATAGCTCTCCCATTTTCCAAGGGGATGTGATACCTACCTGACCTTATCAACCAGTAAATACAATCTGAGCATCAGGACTCGGTGTTCTTCTCAGCCAACCCTGGTAGATTGCTTTATACCATGTGAGTTAGTCAGCATCACATCACTTATTGGGCCTTTTTATTCTCATCATTCCTTATTCACTAGCCTCAGGTTAATTCTGACTCTCAGAAATTTGATTCCATTCCATTCAGAACAGTAATTTGTCTACTATTTGAGCCAAACAACTGGAAATCCAAGCAAAGCAAAGTTGATACATTTTTATTCACCAGAAGTCCCATGCTCCTCACTCATCCCATCAGGAATTCACAGAGCTTGTGTTCATAAATCCTCAGAGGGATCCATTTGTTCTTTTGGTCACTACATCAAGTCTTCAGAAGCTCTGCCCATCTGACTTCCTGTGGAATCCATATCCTCCTCATTTGTGCATTCTTCCTCAGGTTCCTCTTGATGATGGGTGTGCTCTTCTGCTGTGGCGCTGGCTTCTTCATCCGGAGGCGGATGTATCCCCCACAACTCATTGAGGAGCCTGCGTTCAATGTGTCCTACACAAGGCAGCCTCCCAGCCTTGCTGCAGGTCAGCTTGCTCTGGTTTTGTTTCTCCTCTCTGTGGCTTATTGTGCAGGCTAGTACTCTAAATGATAAATTTCAATCCTGCTTATTCATCTGAGTTAGGATTATAAATTTTTAAAGGATTATCAATTTTATTATGTATTTATGCTGAAAATATTGCAATATATGTTTAATTGAATAAGCATTACCCCCTAATCAGTGTATTTTTTTTAATACTGATTTATTTACAAAGTTCAAATACCTTGTTTTTCACACCAGATCTTTTCCATTTCCTTCACTTCCCCTCCACCCATGAAATTGTGTAACACTATGATTAATGAACCCCACCCCCCCATCCTAAGCCCTCTGCTTCTCCCCTCCTTGGATATTCATATTTGTTCTACAGTATTCGTCTTATACAATATTTGTCCTTATGGGACTGAGTTCACTTAGAATAATGCTCTCCTATCCCTCCCAAATTAGGTAGTAATTTACAAAATATTGATCCTATGTTCTGGACCATGTGAATGTACCATAATTTCTCTATCCATTTTATTGGACAGGACATTTGAGCTGTTTCCATGTTCTTGTGGTGATAAATAACTCTGCTCTATGAACATTGATGTACAAGTCTCCATTTGTGCCTCAGTTCTCATTCTTTGGTATCTATTCCAAGCAGTGGAATAACAGGGTCATGTGGAATTTCAATGTTAAACTTTTTGAAGAAGTGCCAAATTGCCTTCCAGAGTGGTTGTACCATTTTATAATCCCACCAACAATATATAAGAGTTCCTATCTTGCCACATCTTCTCCAACGTTCTTAACTTGTTGCTCTGTTAACCTTTGCCACTGCTATTAGAGTATGATAGTATTTTTTAAAAAAAATTTTGTACAATCAACATTTTATTCATTGGAAATACATTTTTTCCTTCATTACATATTTTTTTAATTTATTATTAATTTCAACGAAAATTTACAGACTTTGGATTTCCATTCATATATTGTTTCACTTTTCTCCCCCCTAACCCTCCACCCTAGTACTCTTGGTAAAGTAAAAGAAAAATTCTTTCATTGTTTTAGAAACCCTCCCCCAGGTCCACTCCACTATGCAGCCTTCGCTCTGGACTCCTATCATGACAAAAATACTTAATCACATATCCCTTTTAAACAGTTTTCTCCCTCATCTGCTTCAATACAGTATACATTATTTAACCCATCTTTCTCAGTCTTCCCCCAACCCCGATGTCAGTCCTGTTTTATGACAGTGGCACCATGCAGTATTTGTCCTTTTGTGACAGAGATACTTCACTCAGCATAATGTCCTCCAGGGTCACCCATTTGGAATAATGTTGCATGAGTTCCTTGGTTTTCAGTGTAGCATAGTATTCCATTGTGTGAATATACCACAGCTTCTCTATCCATTTGTTGATGGGCACCAAGTTGTTTTCAACTCCTTGCTATTGTGAACAAAGCCACAATAAACATTGGTGTGCATATATCTGCTTGGGTGGCAGTTATGGTCTCTTTGGGGTATATTCCCAGTAGTGGAATTGCTGGGTCAAATGGTATCTCTATTTCCAACTTTTTGAGAAAGCACCATACTGCCTTCCACAGTGGTTGCAGTGATGGTATCTTATTGTGGTTTTGATTTGCATCTCAGTGGAAAATGTTCTTGATGTGCACGGGTTTTAATCTTTAGAAGGTACCATTCATCAATAATATTCTCTCCAGATTGGGCATTTCTGGCTATATTTGGCAGTGTATTTATAACATAGACTTAGCCTTCTAAGCTTGATCCCACTTTGTCTCTGATGAACTTTATGATTTGGGATCTCTGATCCACCTTGAGTTGATTTTTGTGTATGATGTAAGATAATGGATCCTGTTACAATTATCAGCACATAGCAGTCCAGTTTTGCCATCCCCATTTGTTGAAAAGGTTGCCATTTCCCCATTTGACAGGTTTTATTCCCTTGTCGAATATAGGTTGGCCATAGATAGATAGGTCTATTTCTGGGTTATCAGGTCTGTTCCACTGGTCTGTGTGCCCATCATTGTACCAGTATATCAGTGTATCTTATGTGCTTATTTATGCAATGAATATATGCACATGTGTTTTCTGTCTTTTTCCTAAAAATATTTCTTCTAACAGTATTTAGAAGAAGAGTCAGTAGTTGAAAAACATGCACTGGGTAACAGAAATGAAGCTGGAGATAGAATGATTGAATTTAGCACAATCAATGACTTATTGGTTGCAAATACATTTTATAAGAAATATAAACGCTGGTTATACACATGGATTTCAACTGATAGTATGTATAGAAATGAGACTGATTACATCTGTGGAAAGAACTACTAGAGCCATTCAATATCGGCTGTGAAAACTAGGCCAGGTGCTGATTGTGGAACAGGCCACCAACTACTCATATTCAAGTTCAAGCTGAAGCTAAGGAAAATTAAATAGAATCCACGGGAACCAAAATATGACCTTGAGTCTATCCCACCTGAATTTCAGAACCATCTCAGGAACAGGTTTGAGACCTTGAACATCAATGAGTGAAGACCAGATGAGTTGTGGGAGGATATCAAGAGTATCATCAAGAAAGAGTGCAAAAGGTCATTACAAAGACAGAGGAGGGAAAAAAGACAAAAATAACTGTCAGAAGTGAGACTCCGAATATTACACTGGAGCGCTGAGAAGCCAAAGCAGAAGGAAGAATTCAAGATACTAAAGAGCTGAACAGAAGATTTTAAAAGGCAGCACAGGAAGACACAGTAAAATATTACAGTGACATGTGCAAGGAGCTAGAGTAAGAAAATCAAAAGGGCCAAACTCACTCAGCATTTCTTAAGCTCAAGGAACTGAAGAACAAATTAAAACCCCAAGTTGCTATAATTAAGGATGCTTTAGGCAGAATATTAAATGATCCACGACATATTAAAAGAAGATGGAAAGAATATACTGAGTCACTGTATCAAAAGGAATTTACAGACAGGGAATAATTTCATTAAACAACATATGAGCAAAAACCTATGGTGATGAAGGAAGAAGTTCAAGCTGCTTTGAAGGAATTAGCGAAAAATTAAGCCCCAGGAATAGATGGTAGACCAATTGACGTATTTCAACTAACAGATGCTGCCCTGAATGCACTCATCAAGTTGTGCCAAAAAATCTGGAGAACAACCACTTGGCCAACTGAATGGAAGAGATCTGCATTTGTTCCCATTCCAAAGAAAGGCGACTCAACAGAGTCTGCGGACTCCGGGCACTTGTGGTGGGTTTGGGGATTTTTTTGGCCCTAAGAGGGGGTTGGCAGAGCAGACTTGCCAGATGAACTGGGGGTCTGGGGCAAAAAGTTTGCCAGCATTTGGGCCTGTCGGGCTGGTAAGACACTGAAAGGTCAAGCCCCGCCTAGGGTCTTGGGATATTTAATGTCAGCTGAATCCAGACTCTGGCTTCTTGAGGCGCGGTAGGTCTGAGGGCTCCAGGCACTTGTGGTGGTTCCTTTGGCCCCACGAGGGGGTTGGCAGAGTGGACTTGCCAGATGAACTGGAGTAGTCTGGGGAAAGGAGTTTGCCAGCATTTGGGCGTACTGGGCTCGTAAGACAGTTTTCCATTGTTTTTGTTCAGACATTCCTCTAGGTCGTATAGCCCTGGTGCACAAGTTGCCATACAGCGGTCACTTGTGGTTGCTGTGAGGCTGAACACTGTGACACTGATGTGTCAAATGCGTTAATAGTTGGTTACCCAATGCGGACAGAGAGTGGGGTGGAGCTCCCCCATTAAAACAAGCTTGGAAGGAGGCGTGGCATCCACTTCCGTAATAGCTTGCCTCTGGAAACTCTATGAACCTGGAGAGAGGATGAAAGGCACCCAAGCATTGAGGACTCTCCTTCACAGGGTCGCTATGAGTTGCCTGTGACTCGATGGCCCTTAACAACAACAACAACAACATCATTGATTTCACATGAAAGCAAGATACCACTGAAGATTATCCAAAAACAACTGGAACAACACATCAGCAGAGAATTGCCAGAAGTCCAGACTGGGCTTACCAGGGGTCATGGTACTAGGGATATTGTAGCTAATGTTAGATGGATCTTAGCTGAAAGCAAGGAATAACAAAGGAATGTCTATCTGTATTTCATTGCTTATACAAAGGCATTTGACTGTGTGAATCATAACACACTGTGGCTGACTCTGAGAAGAATGGGAATACCAGAACACTTGATCATGCTAATGTGAAACCTATACTTGGACCAGGAGGCAGTCATCAGAACAGAGCAAGGAAACACTGCATGGTTCAAAATTGGGAAGTGTGTATGCCAGGGAGGTGTCCTATCTCCATACCTTTTCAAGCTATATGCAGAACAGATTATCTGAGAGGCTGGGCTCTATAAGGAGAAGTGTGGCATCAGGATTGGTGAAAGATCCATCAACAATCTGCATTATGCAGATGACACAACCCTGCTTGCTGAAACTGAGGAGGACTTGAAGCACTTGCTGCAGAGGGTCAAGGACTACAGCTTTCAATAAGGACTGGGTCTCAATATCAAGAAGACAAAGATTCTCACCACTGGACCAATTGGCAGCATCAGGATGGATGGTGCAAAGATTAAGATTGTTCACAGCTTCCATTTGCTTGGCTCCACAGTCAACACTCTTGACACCAGCAACCAGAAAATTAAAAGACATATTGTGATGGGAAAGTCTGCTGTTAGGAACCACTCCAAAGTACTGAAGAGCAATGGTGTCACTCTGGAGACTAAGGTGCACCTGATACAGGCCACCATGGTCTTTGCAATCAGTCGTTATGCGTCAAAGAGTTAGACAATGACTAGGGAGGATAGGAGGAGAATTGATGCCTTTGAGCTGTGATGCTGGAGAAGAGTATTGAATGTACTGCTAAGAAACCAAACAGGTTCAGCCTGGAGAGGGTTAAACCAGACTGCTCCTTGGAGTCAAGGATTCTGAGGCTTCGTCTCGCATACTTTGGACATGTTGCAAGGAGGGACCAGTCCTTG